CATTGCCAATTTTTGTTTAAGAAATAAAAAATGAGCCCAGCCAGCATGGCTCAGTGTTTGAGCATTGACTTATGAACCAGAAGTTCACGGTTTAATTCCTGGTCAGGGCACATGCCGGGGTTGCGATCCCCAGTAAGGAGGTGTGCAGGAGGCAGCCGGTCAGTGTTTCTCACTCATCATTGATGTTTATCTCTCTCTCCCTCTCCCTTCCTCTCTGAAATCAATAATATATATATATATATATTTCTGCCAGGACTTATATATCTGAACAAAGACCTGAAGGAGCTGAGGGAGAGTAGGAGGAAGGTGTAAAACATTCCAATCTGACATTAATCACATGTTTATTTGGTTTCATGTCTGCTCCGTGAGGGCAGGCCTGGTTTGAGTCCCCACTGGGTTCCTGTGCCCAGCGCGTGGCCTGGCACACAGTAGGCACTCAATAAATGCTTATTGCGTATCGAATGTGATTATGGTGTGTGGATGTCTGGGGTTGTCCGGCTTCCAGACCTTGTAGAATAAGGTGCACTGCCAGGAACACCCTCTCCCAGCCCAAGCCCCCACCCCGCATCGGTCACCATCCCAACGTCTCCCCCTGCCCCGAGAGCCTTCCTCCCACACACACACCCAGAGTCTCCAGGACCAGCATCTGAGGCTCCTGCTCTCAAAACATCACCCAGGCCTGGCAGACCAGCCTCGGTGGCCCGACAAGCACGACCCCCATGAACTCCAGGGTTACACATATGGCTCCAGTGTGTCCCCTGCCCAACATCTCCAAGGTGGAGCTCTGTGGCCAGCCCCTGCCAGTCTCCCCCACCTCCCAGGGCAGCCCCAGGCCTCCATGTGTGCTCTTCCCATGGCCCAGAAGCCCTTCTCTGCACCGTCCCACCGTCTCCCCCTGCCCCTGAGATCCTTCCCTCGGGGTCACCCTGGCCAGGACTCCAGATGGCAGGTCAGAGTGGAGGCAGCAAGTGTCAGGATGGGAATGTGGGTGGACAGGTGTAGTGGGGGAGATGGATGAAGGGAGAAGGACCAGAGACTCAGAAGGACAGAGACAGAGCCAA